ACCAATTCCCAGGACCATGGGAAGGAGAAACAGAGCCAGGAGATATTGAGGGCCCATGGCGTCAGAAGATCTGGAGCCCTGAGGAGGGTGTAGGGCAGGGCCACTGGAGGCATCTATTCCTGGGGTCCCCGCACTCAAAGGGAGGGAGCTGGGCTCCCTCTCTCCCACACCCCCACACCACCCAAGTCGAGTTCCTCAGGGCTGGCTTGGGCGGCCCTGTCTAACATCCTGTGATTCTACTCCTGATTTTAACATCCTAACTCCAACATCCATTCATTCACTTGAGAAGCATTTCTTGAGCATCTACTCCGCGCCAAGCACAGCTCTGAGCCTGGCCGTGAACAGAGCGACGGTCCTGCCCTTAGAAGCTGACATGGGAGAGAAATACAATGAACAAATACTAAATGAGGAAAATACAGTGCGTGACATGCAGATGATTGCTCTGGAGGGGGAAGGGTGCACCGTGGAGGCTGGGGAAGCCTCAGCTGAGGGTGGCGTTTATGCTCAGACCCGGTTAGTGCTGGGACTTGGGCCTCAGACTCAGCTAAGGACCACTCTTCGGATGAGCAGTCTCTGCCGCCCTGTTCCACCCCCTTTGCTCATCCAGGCTGTGTCGTTACAAAGAGGTGGAGAAGAGACCCTGGAGAGGGACCAGCATGGGCAGGCGTCCCACGGTTCTAGGTTCTAATTCTGTGTCTCACACAGGACTCTCCCATCCTGCCTCTTTACCGATCTCTGCTCCCACCCTGCTGAACCCCCACCCCGATTCGGTCCCTTTCTTACCAGACTCTGGCTGGCGGTCCTCACCAGCTCCCAAAGGCAGAGAAAGCCTTTATAGCTCCTGGGATCCACCTACCCTCCACCTGGCTGCCTAGGCCAAAGTCCACGCCAACAGAGCCACCGAGGGGGTGGGGTAGGGGCACAGAGGGCAGGGACATCCCCTGAGGTCAAGCCACAGAGAGAGCCCCCCTCCGAAACTTCACCCCTGAGAGACACAGGCTGGATGGGGGCTGTAGAGAGGTTGGGGGCTTTGGGCGTCCACCAGGAATGGGATGTGGGGTCTTCCCCACGTGAGAAATAGAGGCAGAGCTCTGAATGAGGGGTCACTGTGGGGACCTGCGACCCTGCTTCCTCTCCAGCTTCCACCCTCTCATCCCAAACTGAGGGCCTGAAGTCTCCCATCCCACAAGCCCAAAGAGGGTCTCTGGACTGAGGGGGTCATCCCTCCTGACTCCTATCCATAAGCCCCCCTTGCCATTGTCACTTCCTCTACTCATTAACTGCTGGGGTGCATGGGGTAGAGTCACCTCTGGCCTCATTGAGGATGGCTTGGGNGGGGTAGAGTCATCTCTGGCCTCATTGAGGATGGCTTGGGACAGGGGCACAGACAAGAATTTCTTTATTGTGGAGGTGTGGACACTTTAACCTTGGTCCCTATCCCCACAAAGAAGTCGGGGACACAGGTTGTGAGCCTTTTGCAGGAGGTTGTCCTTGGAGCTGAGGAGCCAGGCCTGGGTGCGGGGTCCCAGGTCCTTCAGGTGGTCCTCATAGTATGTCTGCACAAAGCCCCTGAGGGCTGTGGGGACCCTGTGGGAAAGGGGATGTCACAGTTTAGACCCCAGCTACCCCCAAGACTTTCCCTCATTCACCCCCAGACCCAGGAGTCCAGGCTCCCAGCCCCTCCTCCCTCAGACCCAGGAGTCCAGGCTCCCAGCCCCTCCTCCCTCAGACCCAGGAGTCCAGCCCCCAGCCCCTCCTCCCTCAGACCCAGGAGTCTAGAGCCCCAGCCTCTCCTGGGTACACTCACTGGAACCACTGCCATGTGTTTCTGGTACTTTTCACCAGGGGCTCCACGTACCCCTTCACCTTGTCCCGCACCAGGCTCCAGGATCTACTTGCCAGCCCTGGTGGGGGGCTTGGGGACGCGGTAGGCACTTCTTGCAGGCATTCTAGGTGTGACAGAGGGCACCTTGGGTAGGCTAGGACCCCAGAACCCCTCTCCCTCCCTGTACACTGTCACTGTCACTCCGGATGGCCCAAGGACAGCCCTTTGCCAGTCCTCTCACCACTGGCCTCCACCTCCTTATATGTCCCTCTCACCGTTTGCCCTCTTTCAGCCATTGGTCATCTCCTTTCACCCTTTGTGCCTGTGGCCCCTCCTGTCACCCCTCTGTCTGCCTGTGGTTTTCTTTCAGTCTGTCACCCCACCTCTCTCACCCCTGCCTTTCTCCTAGTGCCCCCTTCACTACCGATCTTGCTTCCCCCCCATTCTCCATGACCCCCACACTGAACTCCCTCCACTCCCTGCAGAGCACAGGCGGGCTGCCCGCCCCCCCCATGGAGGTTGGCAAGGCTGTGCTGTCCTAGTGGGCACTGCACTTCCTGGCACACATCTGGGCACCCATGTACCTGGGCGAAGCCTCACCCACAGAGGGTAGCTGCCACGCAGCTACACAGGTACATGCGCGTACAGATGCGCCTGAGCAACCTGCGGTGTGCCCTTAGCCAGTGACAACCTCTTCAAGGCTCAGCTTCCCTTTCTGTAGAATGGGCTGATAGGACCTACCTCATGGGTTATTGTGGGGATTCAGAGTGAACACGTGTAAGGCACTTGCACGGGTGCCTTGCACACTGGAAGCACCGCATACATGTTAAAACTTTAAGTGCACGTGTACAATCCAGGTGTACTCGCTCCAGTGCAACCCCCCCGCACCTGTGGGCATGCTCAAAGCATTGGCATAAAGACCTCGTAAAGACACACGTGTGCACCCATGCACACACATTAATGCTCAGACACACACATTTCCCATGACTGCACAGTCATGCCTACACACAAATGCATGAGCACTGTCATTTGTCCCAACCCCATTGACACATACTCCCAGGCACACACACGTCTGCACACCATGAGCACACATGTGACTACACTGCCCGTCACAGTCACCCTCATCCCATGTTGCTGGGGGTCCCCACACCCTCCCACCCGCTCTTTCTCACCTACAACACAGGCCAGGACCACGAGGCAGAGGCAGAGAGAGGGCAGGGCCCGGGGCCTGAGTCCAGGGAGCAACATATCTAGGGGCTCTGTCTCCCTGTGCTCAGCAGTCAGGGCTGGAGCAGGGGGAGGCTGCGCCAGACAGAGCCCTCCTCCGGCCACCTGCCCACGCCCCTTGGCAGGGACTTCACAGAAGGGCACCCAGATGGCAGTGGCTACGAGAAGCTATGCCCACCTCTACTGGCCTCCCTGCTTCCTGCCTTCCAGCGCCTGACATGACCGGGGCAGGCAGAATATTCTTTGTCCTCCTGTGCTGAACCAGGTTCCAATCCCGGCTCTACCCCATGTGACCCTCATGTGACAGCCCCCAATTCTACTTCAATTTCCTGTTCTGTAAAATGGGCCCACAACCCATGCTTCAGGCAGGACATTAATTCAATGAAATGATACAAGCAAAGGTGTTAACAGAGCCTGGCAATGAATGTGGTCCTAGATCATAGCTATTTATGATTATTTCTTTCATCTCTAACATCTCTTGACAAGAGGGCCAGACACACTCTCACCACATGGCCTGGGCAAATACATCCCCTTCTCTGGGCCTCAGTGTTTTCATCTGTAAAATGGGGAGGGTAATAAGCACCTGCCAGGTGAAGTCCGTGTGAAGGCTGGGTGAGGGCCGGGTGGGAAAGCTCCAGATGCACATAGTAGGAGGTTTGTCAACATCAGGTTGGGCCCAATGCTAGACAGAAAGAAAATGAGCCTTTTTTGCCCTGGCCGGGTAGCTCAGTTGGTTAGAGTGTCATCCTGATACACCAAGGTTGTGGGTTTGATCCCCGGTCAGGGCACATACAAGTGAATGAATTCTAACCAATGAATATAAATAAATGGATCAACAGCCCTGGCCAGTTTGGCTCAGTGGCTAGAGCATCGGCCCGCGGACTGAAGGGTCCCGGGTTTGATTCCAACCAAGGGCACGTATCTCAGTTGCAGGCTCAGTCCCCAGCCCAGCCCTGGTCGGGGGCGCGCAGGAGCCAGCCAATCGATCTCTGTCTCTCTTTCTGTCTCTCTTCCCCTTCCACCCTCTCGGAAAAGCAATGGGAAAAATATCCTTGGGTGAGGGTTAAAAAACAAAACAAAACAAACAAACAAAGGAACATTTGTTGAGCACTTACTGTGTGCAGAGCCCACGCTGGAGGCCTCTGGGCCAGGACCATCCTATGTGGTCATTCAGACTGGGGCCAAGGGGGCTGTCAGATTTTCCACCTACAAATACAATATGCCCCATGAGACTTGAATTTCAGATAAACAACAGATAATTTTTAGTATGATTCCCAAATGCTGAATGGGACATATTTATACTAGAAATAAAATGCATTATTTATCTGAAATTCCAGCGTCACTGGGCATCTTGCATTTTATCTGGCAACCCTAGACCAAGGCCTTCAGCCCATGGTCCCATGGCCGAGCCGTGGGACCTGGCTCATAACTGGTCCTCCAGCTATTATTTTTAAAACAATATTTTGTTTTATGTTGTCTTTTTTTTTTTTAGAGAGAGAGAGCGAGGAAGAGAGAGAGAAAAACATGGATTTATTGTTCCATTAATTAATTAATGGATAAACTGGTAAATGGGTAAAATGGTAAATTTTGTTGTATATTTCACCATGATAATAAAAAAAAAGAGAAACTCACCATGCACTGTATTATGTGAAGCAGCATGGTTTGGGGTTCAGAGCCTGGCTCCCCATCTTTCTGCCTGTGTGACCTGGCGCAAGCTGCTTAACCTCTCTGGGCCCATTTCTTCCTTGGTGAATGGGAGTCGTGGACCATCTGCTCAGGAAAGCAAAGGAGATTGTTTATATCAAGTGCCGAAAGCAGTGCCAGACCCAACACAAAGGTACGGGCTCAATGTCAGCTGCTGTTTATTAAGCTTGTGTACCAGGCTCACGGGCAGGGCATTAACACATTAACTCACTGACTTAACTCACAACAGCCCTGTGAAGTGGGCCTCTGGATCATTCCCATTTTGCAGATAAGGAAACTGAGGCTGCCAGAGTGGGGGCAAGGCCACTTATCCACGCACGGCTCCTCAACCAGCAAGTGGTGAATTTGAACCCGGCCATCTCAACAGTAACTAACCAAGCCAGGGCAACCTCTGCCCCACCTCCCCGCCCTAATCCTAGAGGGCAGCAGGGAGGTTGGAGCAGGGCAGGGGTGGGCCTGCGGGGAGGTCTCTGATCCCTGCCCCAGCTCCAAGGTCAGCATGGGCTGTTTGCTGTTTGCTTCTTGCAATGTTTGCCCACCTCAGAGCCAGGAACAGGCTGAAGGTCAGTCAGGGTGGACTCAGAGGCAGCTCAAAAACAACTGCTGGGGGGCGGTGTTTTGGGGGCAGAGGTCACGGGGAGGGTGTGGGGGTTGCAATTTGCAAGCGGTAGGCTCAAAGACCCCAGTGTGTGTCTGCCCTGGAGTTTGAGGCTCTCTTTAAATGCAGAGTGAGCCCTGGTAGGATGGTTCAGTTGGTTGGAGAATCATCTCGTGCACCAGAAGGTTGTGGGTTTGATTTCTGGTCAGGCCATATACGGGAGGCAGCCAATTGATATTTCTCTCTCACATTGATAGCTCTCTCTTTCCCCCTTCCTCTCTCTAAGCATGTCCTCAGGTGAGGATTCAAAAAGAAAGGAGAGAGAGAGAGAGAGAGAGAGAGAGAGAGAGAGGAGAGAGAGGAGAGAGAGAGGAGAGAGAGAGAGAGAGAGAGAGAGAGAGAAAGAAAGAAAGGGAAATTGATTGGTTCCAAAATGCTAGAGAAATGGCCAGGTAAAAATTAGTAATTGTTCGATTAAAGAGGAACAGGATATGCCCTTATGCCCCCGGGCCAGCACAGCGCAGCCCCTCCTCGGGTCGCTGTCTGATGAGGGCCGTGGGTGCCCTGTCTGCAGAGTGCGCTGTGGTGAGGCCTGGGGCCCGCACGAGTGAGCGGTTCGCAGGGTGACTCAGGGAAGGGGGAAGTGGACTGAGTAAGTGTGTGGCCCCAGAAACCCCACCCGGATTCAAATCCCAGCTCTACCCACTTTGGGCTGTGACATCGCACAAGTGACTTTAGCCTTCTCTGTCTCAGTTTCTTGCTCTGTAAGACAGGGCTGGTGACAGTGTCTAGCTCAGAGGGATTTTGTAAAAATTTAGTGTTTTGTTTTGGGTTTTTTTGGATTTAGTGTACTTGTTTCACCAAATATTATTGAGCCCCTGAACTATGCCCTGTCCTGGGGACACAGTGGTGACAAGAGCCTTGGTCCTGTCCTCCTGGGGCTCACAGTCCAGTGGGAGAGACACCCATCACCAGACAGTGACAACCCACACTGGGCAGGATTGGGATATAGGTGTCTGACTCAGCCAGGGGGTGAAAGAGGGCTTCCTGGAGGAGGAAACATCAACACTGAGACTTGGAGGGTGGGCATTGCGTGGGTCTCTTTCAGGGCTCTAACCCATGTCCTACCCCTGCTCTCTTCCAAATCCCCCTTCACTATCCATTGAAAGTATAAAAAATACCTACTGTGTGCATGGTGATTTCCCTCATGTTGGGCAGCCCACCAGGGAAGAGCTATACGCCCCATCCAGTTCTCCACTTCCCGGCTGTGTGACCTTGCACAAGTGACTTCACCTCTCTGGACTTCAGTGCCCTCATGGGATTAACAGGGCCCAGCTAGAAAGGTTCTTGTGAGGATTCTCTTGAGATCACGAGGTCCCAAGTCCTCAGCACAGAGAAGGTGCAATATATTTGAGTTGTGCTTGTCCTTTTCGAAGGCGCAACCCCCACCCTGCCCCATAGCCCCTGCCCCACAGGAAAGAAGCACTCAGAATTCTCTATAGGGTTTTTATTGGTGGTGGTGGAAGGGAACATGGGGCATAATGTCTCCATTATGGGGGGGGGGCATTTGAGAACACCACCCCCCCCC